ATATGTATTGCGAAACTTCCGCCTATTCTCCAAAGTTGTAGAAGATTTTCGAGAGTAAGAATCAACAATATATGTGTAAATTGATTAATATATCGGCATATATTTAAATACTAAATCCAAATTACAATTCAACTACTAAATTTAAATTATCAGTTAACTCGGCTTTGGACTATTCGAAATTCTAATACGTAACAGGGATTTGTTGAGTTTGTTCTTATATGTGTTTTATATATGTGTATGTGTATTATTTAAGCCTTTTAAAAGATCCTTCGTTATATTTTAGTACATATATGTGTATATAATTTTTAATCCTTTTAAGAGGACAATTTTTCGTTGCATTTTATTTTATTATCTACGAATTTTAAAACGCAAAGTTTTATAATGAAAAGTTTTTGCATTATATTCTATCTGTAGTTTTCAATTTTAGCTAAAAAGCTTTTATTTTGCACGTTATCGTATATTATGAAACTATAGTTAGAATGATATTCAGCATTGTAGTAATGGTTTGTGTCATCCATGTGGTATGTATGTGTTCTTAGGAATAAGGGAAAGCCAGCGTGCTTCTTTACCATGGCGTGAGTTTAAAGATTATTGGTTTTAAGGTTAATTTTTAATTGTTGGCTTGAGGTCAAGCCAGAAACAGGGATGAGAAGAAATGTGTAGTATACAGGTATATGTGTTTTTCCACCATCTTTAATAATGGAGATATATTAAAAAATTTTGTTTCGATACTTTCCACGTAGTTTTGTCACAAACACGCGTTTTTTCTAGTTACCTGTGTGCAATTGTTTTCTATAGCAGATATCTTACTCTGCCTGAGTGGATATTGGAGTTGAAAGGGGTCAACGACTGTAATGTCCTTTTTTGGCCAAGTGCATGATGTCTGTATGTTACAGCTTATGAGTACTGTGAGAGAATGACCAGTCCCATGGTGACTTTATTATAATAGAACGGATAACAGATTTCTTGCAAGATCAGAATCTTTATTCTTTCAAAGTTCTACTTGGTTTTCGAAGTGTTTAGTTCAGCAGAGCTTCATTTCGAGAGGTGGAAAGCTGATGATCTAACCACTGATTTAGTAGAGGGTATCAATTTTTTATTTTTCACGCAGCTTAAAACTTAGTCGTGTTTTCAAATTCAGATTACTCGAAATATTTCATGTTCGATCCTTCCGTTATTAGGCTGACTTCTCTGATTCTTGAGCTTAAATCAGTTTATTTAAGAATACCAAGCCTGCAATAAGTATAAGAAAAGACTTTAGAAAGGCTTAAGATACCGTTTTAACTCTTTGTGTAAAAGTGAAAATCGTTTATTTTTTTATATCAATCAACTTTTGTTTACGTTATGACACAAAACATACAGTTATTTAATACTATAAATTCGGGCATACATGTATTAACAGCTTAGTATTGTTTTATTTTATAAGTCAATGTGTATAGATCTGATGTTATTGGTAGCACTAAATTTAAAGTTGTTTTGATTATTATTGTTATTAGATTCATCAGTTTTAAAGGCACTTGCTCCCTACACAAAAGAAGTAATAGAGAAAGGAAGAAAAACAGTGGGGCACACTAAAGTTCTACTGAGGGGAGACAGAAAGGTGTGCAGGATGATGGAATGTAACCTAGGAAATTTCATAGCTGATGCTGCCGTCCACCAGTACATCAACGCCCCTAGTGGAGATAAGTGGAGCAGAGTGGCCATTGGTATATGGAATTCTGGAGGAATCAGAGCATCCATCGATGAAATAATCAATCAAGGTAAAGTTTGAAAATTATATAAATGTTTATCGCTACATCACAAGCATGGCTAATCTAATTGTTCTCTTATCTGGGGGCTCTCTGATGGGTCAGCATTGAGTTTGCGGACTTACAGTGCTAACATCTGGAGTTAGATTCCTTGCAGTGGATAGTTCAGATAGCTTATTGTGCAGCTTTGCGATAGCAAAAGCTTCTTCAAATGCATTCGTTACGTTTCAGCTCCAAATCTAATCATTGCTTTTATCTTTTTTTTTTAGAAAAGGTCTACAATTTTTTAACAACCTTGTTTTTTACAAAATTTCTTTGTATAAACTAATGCGAGGGGGGCTTATTTTCGGTGTATAACGTGTTTGACAAAAAAAAATTGATACAAGATATTCTTACGCAGTTCGTTGTAAAATAATTTGAATTTCTGTTTTTGTTGAATGGTGAGTTGGATATAGAATTTATTTATGGTCTATGTTTTTATTATTATTTCCGAATTAGTGATATTTTCATGTACAGAATATTATGCCAGTACACTTATTTCATCAACAAAGATGTTGACTACGTTTTCATCGTCAAATTTATACAGAAACCCTGCTCCGTTTTCCACTGTTGCTCATCATCCACCTGCTTATGTACACTTATGATTACTTGAGAGCGGTTAGTGAAGTTTGCTTCTTTTATAACACAAAAACTACGTTTAAAGGCACAAAGGATCAGTTGGATTAAATCGGTTTGTGATTTACAACGTAGTGAACAGAATGAGATAGAGCTTTGTGTAGCTTTGCATTAAGAAATCGTAAACAGCAACAACAGTTTCTAACGCCACCTAATTAACACTAAGTACTTAACCATCAACTTACTGGCACGCTTTTATACCGTTCACTACTGGTGGAATTCACATATTGCATCATATTGATTAATTTTATGTTTTTGACTGTTACTTTATTCGGTCTAAAGAATTGGGAAAACATTGAATGAAATCAATCATATTTTTATGTAAAATACACCGGGGTCTCAGCAGTAACTAATCGGATTAACCGCAGTATTTTGGTATTTTTGTCTAAATCTGCATATGTGTGATTCTTGTGTTACTAGGGGCCACTGAAAGACATTTGGTACCCTAATTCTTAGGTTAATGGTAATGTTTTATTGTGTGGACGTGTGAATACTTACAAATGTTATTTTTATAATTAAACATCCAGTATTAGATCATACATCAGATCATAAAACTATTCGAAATATACGTTAGCATGATTTAGAAAATAAACAATATTAGAGATTGTTCTCTCTCGCACATATTGTGGAAACTTAAAATATATTTTAATATAGAAATAAATCTATAGAGATTAGTACTAAATATGCAAGTTTAGTTTTGCTATGGCAAACATTATTACCTGCAAACGAAACTTCGCTGACGTTTTAAACAACTTCATTTCTTGTCCGTCTTGAGCTTTTCATTCTAATAATAGCTGACACTTTTTATTACCGCACTCAGTTTTTAAAACAAGTTATATACAAGTCAGAAACAGATCTGAACTTAAACATAACTAGTTCAACTTGAAATTAGCCTAATTTACTTCATTCATTTTTGTATAATATGAACTTCGTAATTTACTCAAAGTCATCCGTTGGTCTGGTTTTTTGCTTACCTTTTTATCCTTCCCGTTATTTACTTAGTGACGTCAGATAGAAATGGCAATCGCTGTAACAAAACTAGAAAAACTTACTTAACTTAGTTGGTATCAAGATTTTTGCAAACTGAGCATGTTCGGGTAAAGTTTTTGAGTTCATTTCTTGGTGATTTGTTGTTGTTTTTTCTTTTTAATACAGTAAAGAGTTAAGTTACGCTAAGCCTACCCATCGTTCATGACCGTTCGTCATTGAGTTGTTGTTCACGCTGCTGAAGACTGTTGCAAGTATTTTTTATATAGATTTTTCTTTAGATCTTTGTGTTTGATGACGTATACGAAACGCCTCTTACATAATCCGAACATAAGAAAAGACATGGACACAACATTGGATAAGCTAACCGATGTTTCTCAACTTCGAAAGTCTAAATATACGTCTTAATTTTCACCTTTTATGTGTGTGCGGTGACTGTTCTATTGGTGAGGTGAATGGACTGCATAATCCACATGATGTCGTTTGCACACACACACAGCGTTCGGAGTTTCCCTGTTTCCTTAGAATTTTCGCGCAAAACTACACGAAGGCTATCTGCGCATAGTCGTTCCTAATTTTGAACTGATAGATTAAAGGAAAGGCAGGTAATCATCAGGACTCTCTGCCACTCCTTGAGTGGAATTTGACACTCTCTCCCATAGCGCACTCATGTCTTTCAATTGTGAGGTGCAATTTTTGAGGCAACGAGACTCGAACCATGATCCACCGTATTCACAATTTGGGCATGCTAGCCATTTGGCCACGCCTGAAATACGCTTTCCTGTGTAACAGGATCTCAGATTTACAAATCTGATTTAAGAGTTTCATTAGACAAACTTCATTGTAGAGTAACTTGAAAATTAACATCAGAAGTAGCTCATTTATTGTATAATTCCGTGAAATTGACATTTTTATTTGGCTTTAAAATGAAATAAAATATTTATTTACGTAACTCACACAACCCTGGCATTTTAAGTTTCATAACGTCAGACTTAAAATGTTCAATTTTTCGTTAGATTATTTTATTTTATACTTTTTTAGATAAATATCTTCCAACTAACAGCAGCGTTACCCAGCGTTGTCCGGGTTTTTGAAAAACTCTACTCTGTTTCCCCGTTCCATATTTCGATAGGTAAAAAATATTTTGTGAATTTATCAAAAAATAAAAAACCTTAGTTTGATTTTTGAAAATAAACTACGAACCTGTTTAAATCAGGACTTCCTTATGAACGATGTTTTTTTCTTTTTTCTTCACTGGCAAGGACAAATATGCCCTTATGGAGAATATTTAGATTATCTTATACACGTATGAGTACCTGTTCTGACGTACAGGGTAAGCCTAACTCTATCCCTCCTGAAATATTAAAAGTTGAAACGTAAATATGTATGTAATATATGTTCAATTTGTTTTAATGTAAATTTAATATATTTTTATGAATGTGATACTGTATTCACATTGATGTATGAAATATATTACAAACAAAATGCAATATTGTACTTTATAATGTATCAAAAGAAAACATCCAGTTCCAGGTATGGAACCATCCCGAGAAAAAAAAAGTAGAATAAAATACATTTGCTGACTTGACTTTAATCCCATTTTACACAATAAGTATTATAATGTAAGCCTTAGTATAAGTGTTATAAAACTGTTTGCTTCTTCACATACAACATTCTATTTCTGTATACATTTATTTTATGTGTGTGAGGTTAAATATATGATGTATTAATAGATGTTTAATTAATAAGCTATAACTAAATACGACTATCTATTGTAATGCTAATAAAAAATACAATTTCCATGTTCAACCCATCTTCCACCTCATGCAAAGCGCTCTACCAGTTACGTTGACTTGACTTTAATCTCATTGTACGCAATAAATATTATAATTTAAGCATTACTCTTTTCATGCATTCTATTTTATAGCAGACGGCATAATTTTATTTTATAGGTTAGGCCTACTGTTTGTTTTTCACACACGACATTTTAATTCTGTATACATTTCTTTTGTGTGTGAGGTTAAATATATGATGTAGATGTATAGTTAATTATCTATGACTATATAGGTCTATAATGCTATATTATAAATTAAATATTAACTCAAACTTAACAAAAAATGTCAAGTTTGCGTAGAATTTATTCGTGTAATGTACATGTTAACGATGAAATTACTGGTTCGGTAGCAAACGATAGACGCGTATATCAACGAAAAATTGTCATTTTGCGCACCTTCACATGAGGGAAGTGTGACCTGCGCAGTAAATGCGGCGGACAAATAAGCAAACAAACTGAGAGACTTTGAGTTATATATATATAGGCTATCAATACAAACTACTTCTAATTGTTACATTTTATATCACTAAGAAATGTGTAGATATTACTTATAAGTTTTTAAGATGTCAAGTAGATTTGCTATTAGCTCTCGAACACGTTTTATATAGTCTCATTGCCCGTTTACCTGTTAGGTAAAGTAACCATGGAAGATGTGCTCTCCGTGTCACCATTTAGAAATACCATCGACATCGTGGACTTGTACGGACGTGATTTAGTCACATTACTAGAACATTCGGTTTCCGAATACGACGAAAAAGCACAGGATCCCCCAGGTCGATTTTTACAAATTTCAGGTATTGGTTGTTTGTGAAAAAATTGTTTTTTCTCTATGTATTTTTCTTTGTTGTTGAATTGTTTTTATTATATGTGTGTATATTATATATAGTCTATTTAATGTTTTAATCATTTTTCTAAAATAAAAGAAATACGACACTGAAATTTCATAGAAGTAGACTTCTAAACCCCCTTTTACCGGAAAAACTAACCCATCGCCGAACATGCTCGTCTTTTCAGTCGTGGGGTGTTATAACGTGACAGGCAATCCCTCTATTCGTTGGTACAAAATAGCCTAAGATTTGGCGGTGATGTTGATGGTGTTGACTAACTGTAGTTCTTTTAGTTTACCACTTCAAAATTATGGACCGCTAGCAAAAATAGCTTTCTAGTTGCATTGCTCGAAATTCAATAAACAAACAGAACAACTAATTGGGGAACAGTTTGTGAAAGCTAATACACTTTGGACATGCACACATGTGTTGCTTTAAAAATTCCTTCAAACGTTGAATATTGTTTTATTTGTTATTAATTTGCTGAAATTACTTTTATTTTGTTTTTAAGGAATAAGAGTGACGTATGACATACACAGATCGCCTGGAAGCAGAGTAGTGGATTTAAAAGCGAAGTGTACAAGTTGCCGCATTCCCCGATACTTGCCTGTAAACGAGAGTGGAATATATAGCGTTGTCATGCCGACCTACTTAGCAAAAGGAGGAGATGGCTTTGCCTTCATTCCACATAAAGCAGTAAAACTTCACAACACAGGTTATTACTATTACAGTCAATTCTGTAGCAGCCTTAAACCTCATCCCTTGAGAAATAATAATAACTGTCGTCTTTAAATTACCCGACCTTTTTTTAAGCTGGAAGTATACATTTTTACATTATAATTCACTGTATCATTCGTTGATGATCTTTATCACGAGAAAACACTCAATGACATAAACAAATAATATGTAATGTAAGGATTTCATCTGTGAAAATGTTGGTGGTATATATATATATATTGTTTGAGGCAAAAACTATGATGTTATATTTATTGAAATATTAATTACAGGTGTTATCATTATGGATGAAATGTAGTAGTTTTAAACATCATTATTTACTTGATATATTTTAAAAGTATTTATTTGCCTGTTATTTAAACGAAGGTTTAGGAGGAAGATTTACAGTACACATGAAAGATTTTCTGGTATCTATTCTCATGCCTACAATTTTTTCCGCTAGGGGACCTTGACTCAGACTTGATTGTAAAGTATATTCAGAAGACTACTCCGGTGACTCAAGGCCTCGAAGATAGGATTACATTCCGATCCAAGGGGAAAGACTGTAATGCCACGAGCAGAATAATCAACAGTATTCTTCTTTCATCTTTACTACTTCTTTTTCTTAAACAAATGTAAAAATTGTATACCGCGTTTAAAAATATATATATTGATAGTTTTATTCTTAGACTTTTACTTGGGTTACAAAAAAAAGCTGATTTATATTGCACATTTGTTTTATTCCAGTCGAAGTAAACGAAAACCAGTGACGTTTGTGTACAAAACTAGCTTACTCTTTGTGACAGTGAAGAAAATAATGTATATAATTATATCCACTATGAGCGTCTTTACAATAAGACCTTCAGAATTGTTGCATCACTAAAAACACCTATAAATCAATAGGATTTTTCACTATAAGTAAGCTTTTTTGTCACGTTAACAGAGAAAGAATTTTGTTATAATTATCAAGATGCCAATCATTTTTAGCACGTACTCCTTGTAATATATATTGTATATTATCACATAAATTCATTATGTATTCAGAGTAAGATACCTTTTCACTTTTTCTGATTGATTCCACAGACTATTGAACAGGACTTCACTGTAATAAATGATTAAATCTCCGAATTATGCACGAAAAATAAATTAATACGTATGTCACAAGTTTAAGAAATATTGTCTCTCTCTAAACAGAAAAGCTTTATCGTTATATAGATAGTTATAAAAAGTCTTTTATTATAATTTTATAACATTTTGAGATATATAAACCTGTAAATGCACATGCGAGTTTTTATATTATTTTCTTGGTAATGACTTCAGATGGCGTGAGATACAAGTTATATTTAAACACTTCATTCACAGGACATTAATCATTACTAATTCAAGATACAAAAAAATACCAATTTAACAAAAAAAAACGCAGTTGAACTATAATTTCAAGTAGAATTATTTTAAAAAGTATATTCTTCTGTTGTTATACATGTAACTTCTGCATAACAATTTATCGTTTAATTGTATTGATGGTAACGTTAAAAAAGTTTAACTTTTTAAATGCGATTTCATTTCTAAAGAAAATGG